TGATAGTGACAAGAATTGACTTTGTCCACCGAGGATGATCTTGAAACAAAGAAAAAATGTGTTAGTTAGTCTTCATTTATGTGATTCCTAATCTTCTATTCGTTGTTCCCTAGTTTGAAGTGGTTAAAACTAGGGTTCTGATGCATGTTTATTATCGGTGTCATTCCTTAATTTAGTTGCTAAGGAATCCAATTTTGGCAGACAAAGGGGCGCGTCTTTGGAGGGTGTTTCAACACTCCGAATGGTATAAATAGCGGGACCTTTCAATTAGAGTCGGATCCTTGTGATAAATTCAAGAATGACAACTGTAAAAAAATCGAATACTTCATCATTTCTCAATAGTGATGGAGAAATACGACATGCACTAAACTAAGGACACGGGATATACTACAATAGATCAAATTACTGGTCTCAGTGGTGTTTGGTCCCGAACAGAGGAAAAAAAAGTGGCTCTAAATTCTAGGTTTAAAGCGAGGTTACTAGAAAATAATGCTTGGATATGTTGACGGCTACTCCCGCCTTGGATATGCTTAGAGCAGGTGTGGACGTTGATCAAACTGGGCGATCGTACCTTGTTTCTCTGTGCGGTTTACTTTCCTCCCGACCTCATCGAAACCCATTGCCAATCGGTTTTCTCTGTTCTGGATACCGCTAAAGCAACCGATGAAGTTATTGTGTTTGGTGACTTCAATCTCCTGGTGATTTCAAAGAAAAAAAAATCGCAACGGCTTTCTCTATCCTGATATGGATCACTCTGTCATCTATTCCAACGCATCGCTCCTTCTGGACAATTACAGCTCGGCCAGTTTGCATCTTTGTTTTGTAACCTTCCAGGACACAGCTCCTTTCTTATGCGAGACGCCCACTCCTCTGGTGAGACTTGATCGGCGCCACCCGCCGCTACTGGTGACGTTAAGTACTAAGCTGATGCATGATTTTAATACTTCACCTGCAACCTTTTCCTACGATTTTCGCAACACCGACCATGGTAGGGTAGTATCGCCGAGTTACTCTCCAGTTTAGATTGGGACGACTTATTGGACACCGTTGACATTGAGTCCGCTGCTCAAACCATTTCCAATGTCTTGGCATATGTCATTGACAGACTCGTTCCGAAAAAGATTGATCATCATACGACCCATCCACCATGGCATACGAGCGAATTTCGTCGACTGAAATCCAGAAAGAGAACCGCTCTTAGGAAATTCACCAAGCACCGCACGCTATCCCTTCAAAGTCACTATGTCAGGATCATTCACGAATATCGACATGGATTGCAGAGAAAGCTTAAGTCACGTCCCAAGTAGTTTTGGAAGTTTGTCAACGAACAACGTCATGAAGCTGGTCTGCCGTCGTCTATGATACATAATGGTAACGTGGCCTCATCTACGCAAGATATCTGTCAGCTGTTCTCTGAAAAATTTGCTAGTGTTTTCACGGACGAGAGATTGAGTGACGACCATGTCCGACTGGCTGCCAGTTACGTACCACTCTCCGGTCAAGCCATGAGCAGAATTGACATCAATTCCGAGATGTTTTCCAGGGGTTCCTCGAAACTCAATTCGTCGTACAATCCGGGTCCTCACGGAATTCCATCGGCGTTCCTCAAAACGCACTTGGACAGTTTGTTGTCTCCACTGCTGCACAGTTTTCAACGGTCCGTGGACGTCGGCGTTTTCCAATCCTGTTGGCAGCTAGCGCACATTTTTCCAGTACATAAGAAAGGCTGCACACTGTCACTAACTTGCTGTGCCTTACTTCCTACATCTCTAACAGTATGTCGGATCGTGCTCACGGCTGCCTTTTGCTATGATTTCAGTCGTACCTCACCGATCACTATCTTACTGTTGTCATTGGTCCAGTTCCATATGTTCGCTGCCAAGTTTGGCATACCCCTGGGTACCTGGGTATCACCTGGACCGCTGATTTTTCTGATTTACTTCAACGACGTGAAACTGGTTATTGAGGGACCACGATTAACTTACGCAGGTGACCTTAAACTCTTCCTTCGAAATCACTCAATTGAAAACTGTTGCTTCCTTCAACGTCAGTTGAATGCTTTTGGTGATTAGTGTATTCTGAATCATATTGGGGTTAACCCGTCCAAATTCTCGGTTATCTCTTTTTCGCGCAAAAAAGCGACTATTATGTTCAAGTATGTTTTGTTATGCACTGAAATTGAGCGCGTCAGCCAAATTAAGGACCTTGGTGTGATTCTGGATACACAACTCTCTTTCCAGCAGCATATCTCGTATGCCATCGATAAAGCTTCCAGACATCTAGGGTTTATCTTCAGGATTGCCAAACACTTCACGGATATCTACTGCCTTAAATCGTTGTACTGCTCCTTTTCTCGCTCCATATTAGAATACTGCTCGGTTGTCTGGACTCCTCACTTCAACAACGGTGTCGAAAGAGTTGAGTCTGATCAGCGACGGTTCCTGAGATACGCGCCAAGTAAACTGCCGTGGATGGATCCGAAAGGAGGATACGAAGAGATACAGCAAGGGCATTGCTGGTTGCGGATGTTTTGCAAGGACGCACCGATTGCCCTGTTCTCCTTGAGCAAATTGACCAAAGTTGCAAAATCTCACGATTTTCACGAGAGCGTACGTAGCCAAAGGAAAAGACCAAAGCATAATTAAACGAATCTCACCGCTGACACTCACCACACCAAACCCCGATTGACTACTTGTTCTGACAATCCTTCGAAAGAGCGACGTTCATATCTGACATTCGGAACCTGAGTGTCGACGGAGTGACTAGATGATGAGATGTCAGGACAGAGTGTGACACAGACAACAAGTAATGATTGTTGTTGTTTTGATGATCGTGAGCTTTGTTTTTGTGTTAACAAATCTGGAGAATTTTGAGATTTGGGCGTATTTACTTTTGTAACAAAACACGCTAATCACCGATTTCTCGCAAATTAAATCTCAACCTCGAAAGCATACACCACAATCAGGTAGAGGAATGATTCCTGTATCAGTTGGTATTGTTTCCTTGCGAGATCGAGCTTTTATTTGTGAGAATTCGGTGATTCGCGTGTTTGGTTACAAAATCAAACACGTCCAAATCTCAAAGTTCTCCAGAATTATTGACCCAAAAACGAACCAGGCTTCAAAATTATCCGAATAGCGATAATATCCAATGATAGATTGGATAATGGATAATGGATAGGGATAATTTTAATGCCTGAGCAGCTCAGCGCTGATCAAAGTCTCCCCTGCGATCAAAGTCTCCCCTGCGATCAAAGACACCCCGTTTAACGGTAACTTTTTCTAACAACCGTTGAGAAAGCAGAATCCTTCAGGTGATTAATATCACTGCACTTACTTTTTTCTTCAGTTTCTTCGTGGGAAGGCTACTACTCAACTGTGCGCTAGAACTGGAGGCTACTATAGGAAAAATTGAATGTCCCGATTATCATCAATGATAGGTAAACCAATGACAACAATACCCATTGATAGACGAGTGCACGGCTGAACCTTTGTTCATCTACTTAAAAAACCGAACCGAGAACCGAAGTACACCCACGCAAACCAAGAGCACTATCGGGAAGGGGAGAATTCCCCCATCCACCCCGCGCCATGATAACGTTATCTTTCCGTCGATCTTGTTTTCCGTGCTGAGCACCAATGCTACCGACGCCAGGGAGGCAGCTTCCACACTTAGACCCTACCTATCGACCCATCAACTAATGAACCGGGGACCAACGGCTTTAAGGCATGATCAGAGATTTTATGCCTCAGAACATCCCGGCGGCACCGACTGGGATTGAACCCAGGTCTGCTGGGGTGAGAGGTAATCACGCTTACCACTACACCACCGGTGTCGCCCAGAATGTTCCTTAAACTTAAGCTAACCAGAACAACTTGAGCAACTGTAGACACAATATTTAATTAAGTGTAAAAAACTTTTATTAAGATAAGTGAATAGATATTTAGAAATGTAGAATTTGTAAACGTCGTTCCATATAATGGATTGCAATGCATAATTTGGATTATCTTTTTGTTATTGGGCACGCCTAGCGGCGGGTCAGGTGTGGTGACAGTGTAGTGAGTGTCCGTGCACATCAAATGGAGAGTCACCTCACCCAATTGTCACTTCACCATCACCTCACCTCCCAGTGTTTTAAAATAGCTAAAAATCTTCATTGCTCTCATACTTTCAATGCTCCAATTGTCCGAATCTCACCTTCACCGGAATAAATTCAGCTAAACTCCGACGGCAATCCTCCAGTCAGGTGTGAAAAACTCCAGCCGGAAAACACTTTCCTACCCCCATCGACCAGACCAGTGGTGCTTGAATGGCATGGCCAAGGGGTTCCAACGAAACCCGTTGAAAGCGGTGATAATGTTTAATTTAATTTTATTAAAACCTATTTTATGCTGCCACGTTTTATGTAGATGAACGTCCGTACGTGACTCACTCGTCGTTGGCTTGAAAATGGTGTATCTACCTCTATAGGTGTGTTGGAATCCTTGTTCTGGATTGCATGACTCTACAGACGGTGGAGACACACCGAGGGCTCATTGCATTTATCGTAAAGTAGAATTTCGTCGCAGCCAAACTTCGCTCGCTCTCACAGCACAGTAGGTTGCTTTTAGTGAGTGGAAACAAGTGTCTGTCGATGTCACGCGCTTCAGCAAGTTTTCGTTATGCTCTAGGTTGAAGGTTGGCAAGTCCGGGAAAAGCGGGATGGTAAAATGCATTTTCGTTCTATTACATCCACTGGAAAGTGTCGTATATTTTTGCCCAATTCCGGGACGGGTTGACATTAAAGTAATGAGAATCGAGTGTGTGCACTCTCTGATTCCATCCACTCCGGCAGGAATGGTCCAGACCGGGAGGATGCAGCCGGAGAGCACACATGGCTTTAACTAATTAGCGTTGTTGGGCTATTCATTATCGGTTTGGACAATCGAACATAAAAATCAATAAGAGCAATTAGTTTTAACATTTGGCTTTTTTGGTTCGTTCTTCGTTTTCTTTTGCAGGGCCAAAAGAGTGCGACCTGCCCAAGGCAGGCATCACGTCGCTGCACGGTGGCAACAGTTTTGGTCCGGTTCCAAACTCGGCCAGCTCGGACAGCAATGGAAACCGGTTGCACGTCAACAGTGGCGGATCGACCGGTGGTGGCGGCGGGGGTGGCCTCTGCGAACCGCACAACATTCACCAGGATCAGGTAAATGTAGCTGAGCGTCCTGCCGTTGGGTCCTGCCCGGTCGTCTCCATGCAAGTGAACAATTTCTCTTACTCTCCACTAGCATACCGACAAAAATGGCAAACAGAAGAGGCATCGAACTCGCTTTACCCCGGCTCAGCTGAACGAACTGGAACGGTGCTTCTCGAAGACGCACTACCCGGACATCTTCATGCGGGAGGAGATCGCCATGCGGATCGGGCTGACCGAGTCGCGTGTTCAGGTAGGTGGCGTTGCTATTTTTTTTTTGTTTGTGGGGGATTTTTCCGAAAGGGAACATAAAAACGTCGATCATGCCGTATTTGTAATCTGTCTTGAGCTGGTTACGTTGGGGTGGTATGGAATCTATGCTAGTAAAATGAGATACATGCTGAAAATACCATGACAGGGGATTGTATGGGTGTAAATTGTAGATGGCAAGTGTGTCCAAAATGAGCGCGCAAATAAAGCCGTTCCTATATTCGTGAAACGGAAGCACTGAATTGCAGTTGACGGACTTTGTTATACATTAGATGTGGACCGTGAACGCACTGCATTGTTCACGTTTTCAGAAATGATCCTTTTTTTGTGAGAGGAATTGTTCTGTTGAATTGAAACAATTATAAGTAAAAGTATCAATTCTTACTCAAGTGATATCAGAGCTCCAGCATTATTTTTGTAAGTTTGTAAATAGAAGCCATCAATCATATCTTGATCTGCATTATTGCGTCTTAGAATAATTTCTGAATATGCACTATCAATTATCACATAACTCCGTAGTTCCACTATAGAAGGTCGTGTCCAAAATCGATGAGCAACGATCATGCCTGCATTCAAAGGCCCGTTTCACCCCAATTACCCGTTCTTTCCCACTGAATGAAAATGATCTGAGCATTTAAATCACCCAATTTTTTCACATGACATTGAGATAAAGCAAATCTTTCCCGTTACTCGGATGAAAGGAAACATGCGTTTGTGACTTTCCGAGCTATTCTTTTTCCTGTTTGAGTTTTAAATTTGTTTCGGTTAATCGACAAGTAAGTCAAGCTATGTTTAGTATTTTTGGAGGGGAGAAAAGAAACTGAGAATAAAGACACACATGATGAGCAGAATACGAGTGTATAGCATGATTGCGAATACTGGTGGGATTTGAACCCACAAATTCCATTCAGTACAATGATGCATTACCAACTTTACTGTGGTAACAATTTGGTGAAAACACTTCACCATGAAACACTTTGCACCAAATAATCGAAGGCGGGATCTTTGTAAAATATTAACAATTTAACTTTCAACTATGATTTTACACTGATTTTTTCTTTCAGTGTATATTTCTTTTATTTAAATTGTATTACCAACAACTACCTATATGTCATTTTGATCAAATAAACCGTTTTCAATGTATGATTTTTTGAAAAAATAAAACCCTTTTTTACATAAGCCCTTATACAAAATAAGTGCGGATTTTTTTTTGTGAAAACTAATGGATATTTTTGGTCGCTATTGAAAATTTAGTCGAATGCTGAATTTATGTATGGGCCAAAATTAGGGGCATTTAGGCCGACATAACAACCATTTCTCCTATGTGAAAAGTTTGAATCAAATCTGAAAAGGTTCGGAGCAAAGGTAACTTTATTTTAGCCGTTTTGAGCTGAAAATGCTCTCTAGCGACTCAGTATCATTCGATGGTGAGCAAACACATCCCAATATGGGTTTCGTCGGTTCATTGAGAATAAACGCCTAAGCTGTAGGCCTCACCTCTGACCTCCTGGGCACTGTCCTTATAGCCCTGTAAAATTTTACTGAAATTTTAGTTAACGTGTGAACGTGGTAAATGCAATCTGGCGTTATGAATTGGGTTGTTTAGGGATATTGAGGTAGATTCATATTCGTAATCTGCATTAAAAATAGAACCAAAATCCAATATTTCACTAATTTTGGTGCACTGGAAATATTTAAAACAAGTGCGATTACATTAGCAAAAGCATTAGCCCCTCACACAGTGGGACGAAATCGAAAATAGTGCGACATTGCTATTCGTGACGAAACTGTGTAGAATTTGCATGTCTCCTATAACGTTTCTTCAGTTTTTGAGTAAGTTAATTGAGTAGAGAAAATGTTTGCTTAAGGAGAGGTTCTCGTTCAAATGGCCAAAAAGTAAACAAAGTTTAGTATTTGTGTGGGCCAATGAAAGAACATGGAAGGACGCGGTTATTTTTTTTTTCTTGATTTATTTTCCGTCGATCTTGTTTTCCGTGCTGAGCACCAATGCTACCGACGCCAGGAAGGCAGCTCCCGCACCTGGACCCTACATTTCGACCCATCAACTCTTGAACCGGGGACCAACGGCTTTACTTCCATCATCAGAGATGTTATGCCTCGGAATATCCCGGCGGCGCCGACTGGGATTGAACCCAGGCCTGCTGGGGTGCGAAGTAATCACGCTTACCAGTACACCACCGGCGCCGCTTTAGACTTTATTTCCAATGTTTTACAAGGCGGTAGTGTACGCCTGGAATTATCAAACTGCGTACAGCCTTGTACCTCACGATCGATCTGAAACACAACACGGCTAATGAGGCTTTAAAGTAAACGAAATTTATTGGAGGAATAACCTAAGAACGGGTAAAAACAAATTTGCTGAAATGGTGCGATCTCAAACTTTTTGGTCGATTTTTCACCCCTACAAAGAATTTGTAGATTTTATAGGCCATTCCTCCAATAAAATGGTTTTCTTTCGAATGGTTGAAGGTTAAAGTCGTTAAATTGAACCGTTTTCAAATGAGATTGCACGCAGTTTTGAAAAATCATGTTTCGAGATAAACGCGTTTAAAGTTTTGGCAACAGTTTCGATTGACCGGGACGCCGCTTCGAACAATGGCATGCAAAAACTTTTCTTGTGCGCGGATCGATAATCCCTTGCACCACAATATAGTAGACACTTAGGGTAGAGCGCTACTTCGTCGTAATCGTCCATTTCCGTTCTATCGAGCAGAAAACATCAATATAATCAATGATTTCACCGTGCACAAATCAGTAATACGTTTGTACCGATGCGTTAGGTCACAAGCTACAACACAAAGCCTATTTGAGCGTATTGTGTGAATATTTACACTCATTGTTCTCAAAACAAAAGAAGCGCTCCTAGCAAACACGCTTATTCTACCTTCATCCGTGAGACGAACAAAATCCAATGGCGTTTCAATGCGTTTGGACGGAATTGAAACTCGTAGGACGAATTTGGAATCAAGAAGCAGTGTTAGATTTTTAACAATATCTCAACAATGTGTGGTTCTTTATCAAATTCGACGGTACCTAATGAATGGAGAATAAATTTAGAAGTCATCTTTGATAGAAACATTTCATTTATTGTTAAAACCCGTTCAAGAAAGAGGGGTAAAGTATGGGTTGTCCTTAGTAGGACGGAAATTAGATCAAAAACCCTACACCTTTCAAAAAATGCAATAACAAAAAAAAAACGATTTTTTGAAAATTTGAAATACGAACTTTCCCTAAGGGGGCTATACACTCCGTTAGAAAAAAAAACTGTTTTATGTCTTGTTGAAATTGATATGCATCTATGGAAACGTTGTAGATGAAGTCATTTTAAGGAATTTTGTCGAAAACAAAACATTTTTATCTCTCAAGTAGACGAAGCTATAGGGTGAAAATGGAGTTCAAACGGTAGTACCCCCTTAAAAAACGTTTTTTACCAAAATTTTTTTGTTTGGATTTTGTAATTTTTAAATTGTTGAGCAAAGTTGTAAGTGCTTCAAAAATACATATTTTTGCAGAAGGAAGCTTGTCGCTATCCCTTCGTTTTAAGGATTACGTCTGTTTTTATAATTTGTTAATATTTTTTTAAGGGCGCGTATCTTACAGGTTAGCAGGCATTAGCATCTCATCTCAACGTCATTTCGGTCAACAACTTATACCTTGGATCCAAGGGTAACTTGGATGTGGATCCAAGGGTATGTCTAATGAATTTTCTAATAAAGTACGTTAAAGTTTTGTTTTGTTTGGCTGTTTTTATGACCATTTTTGTCTCAGAGGATTTTGTATGGGAGCGAGCTGATTTAAAAAAAAAACGATAACGTAGCTCTGTTTACAGCAAACTCGAGCATTTTTTCGTATTCATGTTCTCTAGAGTAATCTCTTACAGTTAAATGTAGAAAAGATCCGATCAGTCGTAAGCCAAGGAGTGGCCCAGACAACCAGAAGTCGTATAAAAATGTACAGACAGTATCGTAAAATGCTACAGTTTAAGTCAAAATCGCATATAAGAATGGCATACCTCGCGTTATGTTTAAAATAAATCGTATAGAATGCAAACTTCCGACTTATATGCGATAACTGATTTTTCCGTCGCACTGTATCACAAATTAAATCGGATTACATCGTAAGACTTTTTAAAATGAATTTGTTATTTCAGATTAAATCGTATGTGATGTAAAATCAACTCGTTTAAAATCAAATTAAAATATGCGCGTATTTGTACGTATACGTGTACGTCAAAATCACAATTTTCGCTACGCAAATCTTTGAAATAACAAACAGAGATGTTTGTGCTGTTCAGTGTTGGAAAAGTTCGCGATATTTCACGAAGTTCTCCAAGGGAAAAGTTCGCGAGTCATAGTGATTTTTTGCGAACTTTTCCATCACTGGTGCTGTTAAAATTGATGTTACCATTTTAAACCATAATAGGCAATACGTTTACTGTTTCAGTGCCAGGTTTTTACGTTTATATTAGGTTCTTGTTTCAGACGTTCCCAAAAATTACTTTCGAAAGTGTTAAATCAGTACAGAAAATTTCAAACTATCGGAAGTGAGTCTATCCTTGAGTGATTCAACATTTTCCCTACTGAACTCAAGATTTTTTGAAGTTATTAAATATGCTATGTGCTGAATACACGGCTCCAGTGTTTCCAATTTTTTCCAAAGTAAATTAAAACTTTTGTAAAATTTACTACTGTTCGAAGAAATTCTGTACGTGTGTTTTTTTATGAAATGGTCCAGTAAAGATGGTACTCGAAAAACAACTCTTTCTCTTGCGTGTAGCTTTTTATTGCATGGGTAAACATAAATGAGATTTTGAGTAAAACTAGTTTAGAGTGTAATGTTTACATGTGCAAAATCTCGTCAAGTGGATATCGAGATGGCCCCCAAGCAAGAAGTCCTTCGACAAATAATTATGGGAGCGGTCGTGGAAAATCCAGGCCAGTCCCACAGGTGGATCGCGAAACA